GATTCTAGGAGGATTCTTAATTCGCCCATTAATCAAGAAGCTCAGGAAATGCCACAAGCTGCCCGTAGTGATGTTGGTTCACGTGATAGTCGTGATCGCGGGAATGGCCCTTTTCCAACTGTCCGTTCCAGAAAGATCGACTATTGAACCAAACGATGGCAATTCGCTATGGCTGACTCCAAAGTAATACTCAAATTATTGTCAAAATTTCCAATTCTAAAGCGCCACTTTTCAGCCGTTATCTTGCCTGTGCTATTGGTTATTTGATAGGAATGGGCGACTTTACATTAACTATGGCAAGAGTAATCATCTGCCAAGTAGCTGTGCCAAAAAACCGAAACGAGGTCTTCTCTCTAACTCGGATTTATCAGGTTGGAAAATTGAACTTATATATGATATACAGAGTCCATGTGTCCACAGCTGGCACATGAGGCAGCGCCGACAACATGCAGCGCGCATGCTTGCGCAGATAGGTGTAGCGCGTAGTTAACGTGGTTCCTCATGCTATACTGTACAGCCTTATTCTCAAATGGGAGATGATTAAGGGCAGAGCTTAGTTTTTATCTAACGGAAGCAAGTACTTTTGGTTCAGACCCGTAAATTCAGTGGTTAAGCGATTGACCAAGGTTTTTTAACAATCATTTATTGCATTGGGTTCCGGTGCTTTTCAGAGCATGAAAAGCCCAAGACCAACGACTCATTCCCTTAGACGCCAACAAAAAACCAGGATAACATCCAGTTAAAAAAAGTACAATACTACCATAACTACAAAAGCTTATACCAACTTTAGATGACAGCACAACTTTTGTTTAGAACAAATTATCTATCACCAATCTTTGTTTTCAAACCGGGTTTACAAGTGCAACTACTCGCATGTTTCTGAGTTATTTTGAGCATCTTTTCAGTGTTTATCCTCGTGTATTGTGTTGTTCCTGTCCACCTATATGACAGTCACATTATGGACTACGGTAATGATGGTCGGAATGGTGACAGGTGTCACCACATTCCTTATTGTCGCAAGAAACACTTCGTCGGGGAATGTCGTCACCTCATCACCAGTGAAAAAGTTCTTTGTTCCGAAATTGAAGAGCAGAGATGCATCTAAAGAGATTTGTTATACAATTCAAACCGCGTAATGGAGATAAGCGCAAATTGGATGGGTTCATGTATAACTACATGCAAGGTTATGTGGACAAAGTAATCTCAACTTTTGACATTGCTTTCTTAGATATTCTACGATTATTCATTGACAAATGACTCTTAGTCGTTATATCCCTGCTGCATATATATTGCTTTTTGAACCTATATTTATGTTCCTTCTATTGGTTTCACTTTATGACGAGGACATTGTCCGATTGTTTGCATTTCTGTTTTTTGAATATACTTTCCTGCTAAACAAGAAGTACAGCACATTTATCAAATCATATCTACCATATGCGTTTTCGTTGTGGACCTCGAGTCCTAATAAATGATAATTAAATTGCAGCGATATCAACGTTGATTACAAAAACTGTACGAA